AGATGGCGGCTGCTCTTCCCTTTCCCGTCATGGCCTTTGGTCTCGCGAGGGTTTGGGGGGGCGGGGCGCCGGCCCCAGGTCCCGCTTTCTAACCGTGGCCGGTTGCTTAGGCCGCCGGGGCGGGAAATTACCTGAGGGAACTCGCCTGCTGATTGGCTATTTAGGAGGCCAGGGGCGTGGCCTTACCTGAGGAAACTCGCCTGCTGATTGGCTCTTTTTGAGGCCAGGGGCGGGGCCTTACCTGAGGGAACTCGCCTGCTGATTGGCTCTTTGGGAGGCCAGGGGCGGGGCCTTACCTGAGGGAACTCGCCTGCTGATTGGCTCTTTGGGAGGCCAGGGGCGGGGCCTTACCTGGCTCCATGGGAAGTCACGGGCGCGGGGGAGCAGGTCTTTGGGGAACGCAGCTGCTGATTGGCTCTTCGGGAGTCAGGGGCGGGATCTCGCTTGAGGGAACTCGCCTGCTGATTGGCTCTTGCCGTGGTCGCTGAGCGTTGAATGAGAAGGCGCGAGCGAGCGGAGCTGCAAGCCACTGGCGCTATGGACGCCGCCGTCAGGGCCCGGGAGTGAGTAGCGGGAGTTGGTGATGTCCCTCCCTCCCGCCCCGCGGGGGCCGTCCTCTGTGGGGAGGTAGCGTGGTTCGCTGCGGTGCGTTGGGGGGCGGCTGCGCCCCCAGCTGGAGGCTCAATGTCTCCACGGCTGAGCCATGAAAGGCCCCAAATAAGAAAAAAGCCCCCGGAGACCTTGTTAGCGGCCGTTACGTCGCACGGGGCTGGGACCCCCGGCAGGTGGCTGCAGACACTTCAACGGGTACAAATAATTGAAAAAATGCTCCAGTCTCTCCCGATGTCGGGACCCATCGAACAAGCCTCCCTACCGACTGGGAGCCCGGCTGCGCGTGTGTTGCTGGGGCTCGAGGCTGCGTCGTTGGAGAGGAGCGGCCAGAGAACTGCTCCTTCCATGCAGGGCTGCTCAGCCGGCGGCCCGTTTCTTTGCAGCCCGTGGTGCGATTTCCCGGTGCCCTGCGTGGGGCAGCGGACAGTTTAAACGTGGCTGCTGGCGCCAGGTGTACTAAAGTAGCAGAAGGAGTATTACAGCCTGGCGGTGTCGGATAACTGCTTTATGGGCTCCTCCACTTACTCTTCTGGTCATAAGAAGGCAGAATGTATCTAATAATCTTGAGTAACAGCTGTGCTCCCTGTCTATTTCATTCCTCAGTGAAGTTCTCGCATCTCGAAGTGTGGCTCATTCTTCCCCGGCCATGTGCAGTTAAGACGGCAGCGCTCGTCCCTTGTGCCTTCTAAATCCATCCAAGGGCCGTGAGCCTATCCCTGGGTGTCAAGGGGATGTGGGGTTGGTTGATTGCCGTGTCTTTGGCTCAGTCTTCTTCACAGTGGCCAGAACTTAAGGGGAAGCCATTTGATGACTGATGACTAGTGGATATAGGCAGAGCCATTCTAAGGTTTCTTTGATGCTTGTGATTCTCTTGGAGCTGGCGTACGGGTGTAGGGTATGGACATGTGGGGTGGCCAGAGAGATTCACGGCCCTGGGTAACTCCTTTGAGCCAGGATTGGCAACTTCATTGGAGGTTTTCTCGCTGTGTGTGCATGAGTCACCCTCCAGGGCAGGGTGAGAACAGAGAAGATCTGGGGAGGGAGAGAGAGGGGTCCTTCAAGGGCCAGCATTTCTGCAGTGGAAACTGATGTCACACAAAAATGACTCCTGCAGTTCATCATCTCACAGATGAGGGCTCAGCTATAGGACCTGGCTCTCTGTGGCCCAGTCCTCCTTTTTGGGGGGAAATCTGTCTGAAGCATTTTTTCTCACCATCTTTGCTGGAGGTTGACATCTAGGACAAAGATCAGCTCTCCCCAGCCTTGACCCTCTCTGCCCCTCCCTACAGGCTTCTGGCTCAGCTGGATGAGGTGCTGGCCTTTGAGGGGCAGACCCGAGAGGAGCTGGAGGCAGAGCTGCCAGCTAAAGTCCTGGTGGAGCATGCAGTGGTGAGTAATTGGGCAGCAGGCCTTTGTCTTTAGGGGGCACCAGCTCTGACCTAGCCTCAGTGTGAGGACTGGCTGGCTCAGGCAAGTGGGAAAAGGAACATAGGGCCTATCCCCTCCTAGGAGATGCTATTTCCTGTCCTGTTCTAGGGTGGGGAACGAGGCACGAGGCCTTTCCCCTCCAGGGAGCACCAGGTGATTTCCTCCTTCCTGTCCCATGGTTCCCTCAGGATACGCGGAAGAAACAGAAGTGGATTTGC